TAGGTATTCCTATACATTCAAGGGTTGTCCCTTGTAGAACTGGGGGTTAGGAGGGCTGATCTTGAAACTAGTGAGCAGTGAGTATGGCAGAGAACACTGGCCCCAGTGATTTTTTAAGTACTGATAATAATAAAAATAATAACATGGACAATAGCTGCTAACATTTGTTGAGAGCTTACTAGGTATCAGGTCCTAAGCTAACCACTTTTATAAGTATTTTTTCATATAATCTTCACCAGAACCCTGGAGAACATGTTCTGTTATTATCACCATTGTGCCAATGAGGAGAACGGAGCACAGTGAGTGACGCAGCTCACACAGCAGTGAGAGGCTCTTAAGAGCTGGATTTCACTGATGCTTCAACAACCACAGGGCAGTTGTGAGTCCTGGGATTCCAGCTAGTGCTGGTACATCATGAAGAGCACCAGCTTGGCCTGCGCACCTGCACATAACCAGACAGGTGAACACAGGGTGGGCCAGAGTGGCCATAGCCAGAGCACGGTGATTGCAGGTGCCACAGAAAGGGTCGGGTCTGGGAGCAGAGAACAGAGTTGGTGGTATATAGCCACGCACAGTCCAAGTCAGTGAAAGCATTAAGTGATGGGGGATTTGAACCAAGGTGGGGCAATAAGATGGATGGTCCATGGTGGTGATCGGAAGGGGAGGGACAGTGGCGGAAAGTTCAGGAAAGGAGGTGGTGACTCAGAGATGCCCAGTGGTGACCATGTCGGAGTCTGGAGGGAGGGGATTCGGTCGATGGGAGAGGCATCGGCAGATCTGGGCAAGGCCACAGCTCTGGGATTGTATTGAGTAATAGGGCTCAGCAACAAGGACAGGTCCAGTCAGCAACCGTGGGCCATTGTGTCCAGGTGAGATGAACAGAAAGGGTAGCTTAACACCATGGGAAGGGTGCTAAAGAGCCTTGGGTATCACCTAAGGAGGTTGAACTTCGTCCCATACACACCTGTGCTCTCTCTCACCTGGAAAGTTGTTGTAAACACATACGGCACCACAAGCTATGTGACATCATGTCTTCTTTCCGTTAATCTCTCAAAACCCCTAGTGTGGAAACAATCTTTTAGTCCTAAGAGTGAGTGGATTCAAGGTTAACCCTAACAGAATGTCACTTTCACATTCTGACTTGCTTTCTTGAGCAGGAGAGTAAGAGATATAGATGCCCCTGGCATGTTCGCCTGACCCTGGGGATGTTGTGTGAATGTGCCGTGCGTGCGGATATCAGTTCATATATCACAATCGGGAAAAGGTAGCAAATGGCCCCCAGAGGCCACGGGGAGCTGGTGTGGGGAAGTGGGGCGGAGAGGTGGGCAGAGAATAACAGTGGTTTACTTGTAAGCCCTTCTATAACGTTTCTAGTTTAGTGTTTTGTTGTGTATGTGTGTATGTCTGTGTATTAGAAACTTGAAAAGACGTATTAAAGTTGACTATCAGGTAATCAGTCCCGTACTAAATGAAAAAGTGGGAGGGAGCACAGAGACAATCTGCTAACTTATTGTTGCCGGCAAGAAACCAAGGCAATTTAACTGGCAGATATAAGAATTTTTAAAAGAGAAAGAATAGTAGCCAGGGGTTATTTAATGTGAGCATATTTTTAAGAGGTTCATATAGCACTTGGAAATCATTATAACACCACGAGTGTTAGACTTTATTGGGCCAGTGGCGATGCTGAGACTTCCAGTCAAGATCCGAGTATCCCCACCACTCTCTGTTTAAGGAATAAGCCAGGGAATATAATTTAGCAAGATTTTTATCAAAAGGAGCTAAAATCACAAGAGAAAGAAGGCATTGTTCTTATATGCCTTTCCTTCATAGCACGTAAATGATAGTAAATTTTTTAGATTTTTCTAATTCGACCTGCCAAAATGCATGCTGTGTGAGGGCGGGAGCCACGTCTGTTTTGCTCACCCAGCTGCCCCAGGACGGAAATAACTTATATGGACTTTCTCTTTCCTTGAGCTACTTGAGACGCTTCGTCTGCTCGAGGCCAGGAAGGGCTCCAGGCCTGGTCCCAGGAGCAGACCCTGACCTTCCATGAAATGGGAGGAGGGAGTAGGCGTTCTTGCTCCCAGTAGAATAGCATTTCTTAGGCCTCTGAGATGCTCTTCACTGAGTCCCACATAAAACTGAAGAACTTAATCCGCTGCCATGATTCCTCAGCTCCATCTGGCTGCTGGAGTAATTGAAACTAGAAATGTCTGCTTTGATGGCTGCTGAAAAGAAAGCTTAAATTTTCGTGGAAAACCTCAGTACTGCCTCAAACCTTAAACGTTGGGTTTCTTGGGAAATTCGATTTCTGTTATCTCCAGTTTTCTAGACAGGGAACCTGAAAAAAGCTCTAAACAGATGCGGCAGCGGGAACTTCAGGACCCTCACAGCCTACACAGGTGCCAGGGAGTCCTCTGGGGGGTGGGAGGTGGGGGGCAGGGAGAAGGGGGATCTGGGCTTACCCAGAAATAAGGGGTCCTAGGCTCCCAGCATCAGCCACAGAGCTCAGACTGAGCAGAGCCTTGAACGTGGCCCAGCCTCAGGAGAGAGGGGGCCAGGGTGTCTCCACGCTCATGCCTCACTGTTCACAGAGGTCGGACTCAGGCCATCTGCACCGCAATGTCACTGCCTGGACCACCTTCAGGAGGCTGGGCCTTAACTCCCCTCCACTCTTTCTCCCCTACCCCTTCCTCACCTCCTCCCTCTCTCTCTCTCTCCTCCTCTAGCCCTCCACCCTCAGTGACCCTTCACTTGCTCCCCTCCTCCTGGACTTCTCTCTCTCCTCTCCTCTCCTCTCCTCCCTTCCCCTGCACTGCCTCCTTCCTCCCTTCTGGCTTTGGGAGACCAATGCCTTATCCATTAGGCCACAGGGTGACTCTCCCTTCTCTCTTTGTCTCTTTCCTCACCCTCCTTCTCTCTCCTCTCTGACCCCTCTCCCTCCCTCCTTCCTTTCCCCTTCCTTCTCTCCCTCTGACTTCAAATAGATCAAATAGCTTTTTCTACTCTAAGAAAATCAAAGGTTGGTTCCCACCAGAGGCTCTTCTCAGTTCCACACACAATAAATAGCTACCCATTTCACCCCCTGGGTTAGAAAGAAGAGGCTATTCATGCCCAAAGACACCGATTTTTGAAGTATCAGAGGTATTTTAAACAAGCTGTCTCTGCACTGCTTTCCTTTCACATGCTAACGCATCTGCCCACTGGTGGCTTCTGACCCTGCCTTCCCCTCCTCCACCTGGAGAACAGAACTGTGAGCAAGCAAGCGGACTAAAGACGCGTTTACCAGGGGAGTTGAAGGGAAGACCCGAAAGCTCTAGGAATTGTGGCGTTCACAGGAAAGGCTCTGGGGGAGCTTGAGCCAGGTGTGGGCGGCCCTGAGCTGCTCCGCGCCAGTCCTCCCAGCCTGCCCCCACAACAGGCAGAGAGGCCCACTCTCTGGAGCAGAGGAAATTCAAGCTCCAAGCCCCTCAATCGCTCTGGCCCTTTTGAGGCCGTGGGAAGAGACCCAGCATTGTGATCCCATGGTCCTGTGTTTTTGCAAGATTTGCAAGAGGAATATATTTTAACCACAGTTGGGTTTGATGACTGTTTCTTTCCACTACGGTTTCCCCTCAGTCGTACCTCTCCTCTGGTCAGTTGGCCCTGGAGTGGGCATTTGGGGGATCTGACAAGGGGAAGCTGAAGTGGGAATGCATTCAGTTTATATTCAGTAGTAGATCTAGTTTATACATGTGTGTGGTCCCCAGTCACTTCTGTGCGTGGGCAGGTCCCGGCTCACCGTCCCAGGGCAGGAATGGTGTACAAGAATAGTGCCGCAAGGCTGAATCAAAGACGAATATGACCTGCAGCACTAGGCTTCAGAAGTCTGTGGGCAGTGGTAGAAAAGGCTTGAAATGTACTGAGCCTAAAGCTAGTCTGTGGAAAATTCTTCCAGTCATGAGAGGTGTAAAATTCCAGGTGGAGGATTCTATTCTCGTGGGTGCTCCCCCAAAACAGAAATCAGGAATATATTCAGTGATGCCCTATATACATGGATAAGCACACCGTGCTTTGTTTATGGCAACTGTGTGACATGAAGGTGATCAGAAACCTTGTGTCTGCAGAGCCTGGTGTCCGAGCAGTAGCACACCCAGCAAGCACGTCTTAGAGGGAGGCGCGCTTTAGTGCTTCCCAGTTATCGATAACTTTGATCAATCTTGCTGGAGAAAAGCTTACCTCATCTTCCTATTCTCTCTTGTACAAAATCATTGCCTATGTAGAGCAAGTATTGAAGTATGCAGGCAAAACTTACAGAGGAGAAAGTTATTTTAGAAGTGTGGCAGGCAGTTAATTAATTTGAATATTATTTATTTTGTGGCTTTTGAGATGTCTGTTGCATTTGCCAGATTTTTAAATTATGAAATGTTTTGTAATTTATTGTTTCTTTCTCAAGAGTCTCTTCCAAACCTAATTTTGTAATTGTACTTTTGTATTAATTTTCTTAAAGAGAGCCCCCCAAATTGTTTAAGCCTTAGGCCCCACACACCTGGGTCGTCTTTACGGGCCGCCTTGGTGAGCATCTGGACAAAGGATTGTTTTTTCTGTCTCCAGGAGACTGCTCCAGCCCAGGCCCCCACATTCCCAGGGCCGTTTGGTCAGTGAGTCCTGCAAGGGTAGCAGGTGGCCGTTCCTCCAGGATCTCTATTTTCAGGACTGTGGGGTCTTCTCTTTGAGGGCTCCTCTCCCGGGTTCTCAGGCTCCTACTCTTATCAGGAAACAGCAGTGAGGAACAGCTGTTGATGCTCAGTCTCACTAGCTGTGTTGAGGCCCAGCTGCACAGATTCTTATTCTGACATAAATCCATTTGAGGTTCTTTTGATTCAGGGAGAGGTAGGGTGGTTTTCTGCCAAACCTTTTCTCTGATGTGTATCATATTTGCTTCAGGCGTTCAGTCACACAAAACTGTCTCACCTCATCTGCAGCAAGGCCCTTAACCAGTTTTCTGATTTCCTTAACAGAGTTGGTGTGGACCCGGATGAAGATCTGAAGGAGGAGCCCACCTCACACCAGGCAAGTCCAAGAGGCCAATTCATAGAGTATAGAGATACAAGATGTTCTGTTCCACGGAATGTTCCATGCTTGTCTGGCACGTGGCCCAGGGGCTCAACCTGAAGGGGGCTGCCTCCACTGATAAAAACACATCCGATGACGAAAAATACCTGGGAACTCAGGGTATCCGTAACCTTTGCATCACCTTTAGAATGCTAAGAACTAGCACGCCCTTGCACCCTCTCTGTGGCAGCAGGAAGCTGGGAACTCTCCAGCATGAAAGCAAGAGCATGGCTCTTGGAATGAGGTAGCCTGGAGTTCAAATCCCTGCCCCAGGACTTGCTAGTTTAGATAACCTCGGTGAAATGTATTCAGTGCATGTCCATTGGGCACACAACAAATGGACCTGTTTCTCCCACATGGCCTCTCATTAAGCAGGTCTAGGTGTATAGAAATATTGAAATATTGGAACTTTGCAAAAGCACAGCAAAACTGTCTAGGTGATCCATTCCTAACTGAGCTGTGGAACGGTTATCTGCAGAGACCTGAAAATCCTCGGGGAAGTTTGTTCAGAACAATGTGCTGTTCACTCGAGTACGGCAAGTGTATTCTCCAAACGCTGAACTCGAACCTGACGTCCCAGTAGAATCTGCCATTGGCAATTTTGCATCAGCCGTTTTTAACTCAGTACTTAAACAATTGTGTGGAAATGTTGCCCCTTTTGTTGAAATGGTAAGTGGATAGACACGATAGAAAAATATCACGAATAAGTGATGTTGCTTCATGACTCGTGTTATGATCAGACCTGGATCTGAAGAGGATCCACCCCTCTTTTATTCTGCGATTTTTTTCCTGTAATGCCATCAGTGAGGCGCAGCTGGTTAGTGCTGCTGGGCAAAATGTGGCTACTTTCCCGGTTTACACAGACAGAAAGAAGGATCCTGTGCTCTATAGAAAGGGCTGGAAAATTAAGTTGGTGATGATCCTGGCTTGTTGTATGGTCATTTTTTTTTTTTTTGTAACATGTGTTTCAAGGCTGGTGCTGTTTTCACAGACTCATAGCCTGGGAAACACACCTACCCGCAGGAGTGAGCACAGCAGGGTGCCAGCACTCGGGATTGGGGCCAGCTCCGTGACCTTAGGAAGGAGATCAAAGCCCATCTCCTTATCCTAGTGGGCTGTAATGAGTAGTTAGTAAGGTCTGCTGGTGGCTGATTTTTGAAAAGCATTTTCATCTCATATAGGTCAACTAATCCATTCTCCTACCTTCAAGCAAAACTTTTATCTAAATTCTATCTTTCTCTTCTATCTTTTTCTTTAAAAGAAAGGAGATAGAATAAGAAAATTCATCAAAGAAAATTCTTCATCTTTCTCTAGCTGCCTAATATTTTGAAATCACATATAATTATTGGGAAGATCACCTACTAGCCTAAATCTTTCCTTTTACAATTTAAACATTTCATTTCAGCTCATTCACGCCATTGTTAATTCAGTAATAACTCCTACCTGAAGATACTTAAACCGGTAAAAAGTATTTCTCTCTTAGAGAAATGAGATAGTGCAACTAGGTACAGTGAAAACTACATTGTATTTGGATCTTGGACAGATTTTTTATGTCTTTGAGTCTCAGTTTTCCTACCTGTAAAATGTGGATGATAATAATGTCTACTTCTCCAGGTTGGTATGACAATCAAGTGAAATTATATTTATGAAAACTAGGTAACTTAATCATTTTAGTTAAACCCATCTCATCTTATGAAGGACTTGTGGCAGTTTATATGTGTAATAAAATAATAGTAAAATATTTTATGAGGCCAATTCATAGAGTATAGAGATACGAGATGTTCTGTTCCACGGAATGTTCCGTGCTTGTCCAGCATTGGATTTTATTTATTTATTTTTTTTATTTATTTATTTGAAAGAGAGAGATTGAGAGAGAGAGAGAGAGCACATGAGAGGTGGGAGGGTCAGAGGGAGAAGCAGGCTCCCCGCCGAGCAGGGAGCCCGATGCGGGACTCGATCCCGGGACTCCAGGATCATGACCTGAGCCGAAGGCAGTCGCCTAACCAACTGAGCCACCCAGGCGCCCCCAGCATTGGATTTTAAAATTCAATAAATAATATTAATCAGAGCAAAAAGTCAAAACCAGAGGAGTAAAAAGATTCATGAATGAGCAGACAGACCATAAGGTCCTATATACCTGCTTAGTCAAACCACAAGTAAGGTTTGGTAGCCAACAGGGAAAGGAAGAAAAAATAATCAACCATATACTAAAATATTATCATTAGAGGGAAAAATGATACTCTCTCCTCAAGCGGGACAAAACTTCACAGCCCGCTGTTTTAAAAGAAATTTCTCACTTGGGGCTCCCTGTACAGGACACATAAAGAGCTTATCCAAATGTTAGCTAACTAACCTTATTATAAATTACACTGTTCCTACTGAACTCTTGCTGCTTAAAAATAATTTTGTCTTTAAGAGGTGTCCTGGCAGGGTTCTTATTCACAGTAACTTTTGACTACTGAGGTAGGTAACATCTCAGAAAGGGATCTTCTCCAAACCTTGCAATAATTCTTATCTTCAGTGTCAAGTCTAGGAAACAGTGGGATGGAGCTAGAAATAAAAGAAACCACCATTGTCCCTGCAGCTGCCACCTGTGCTGGACAGTATTTTTGGTACTTTCCAAACCAGTGTCAAGAACCTTGTTGCCCTCGTTTTGCCTGACAGCTCTTCACTTATTATCAGCATCTGTTGCTCTGTTGGACTGAAGCGCATAAACTCTAATTCTTAGGAGGATTGCATGTTTCCACTCGGTTTGCATTTATTAAGTCGGGTTCACGTTACCAAATACAATGATTTTCACACTGGTCAACTTCTAAAAAAAGAAGAAGAAGACTATTTTTACCAGAAGCTAAAAATTTTACAGTTATGGCAGTTACTGATCGTACACTCTCAAAATCAGTAATAAATGGGTTATTATATTTTTTAAGGAACCTCCTCTTTGTTCGTGGAGAGTAAAACAACCTTTGGGAAATATGACTGTCTTGCTGTGACCGACTAGCAATGCCACAATCTTCCTTCTCGCCTTGTAACAACTTTAGAGTGTGAGTGATATTACGCTCTTGCTTGTACCAGACCCAGAAGCTCCAGGAAGTAGGTTCCACATGCAGTTATTAAAGTCTAAATATACTCTCTATGCAAATGGGCTTCTTCGAGAAATAGTACAGTGGTGGATTTTATGTCTCTTAAATTTAAAACAAAAACAAACGAAGCAAAAAACCTCTGAGATTCCCCCCAACCCCAACCATAGGAAGTTTTCCTTGTAATTGATTCTGTGTCCTTGAGAGCACAGCAATGCAGAGAAGTTAAGAATTGCTGGAGCCCCACACTCACCTTAATCTTTTCATAGAAATTCCTGCTGCCCAGGAAGGGCTGCCACTATTGCTTCTCTTTTTCCCTTTTCTGCCATTTTTCTCATGATCATCCTAATATTTGTTGAGTACAGACTATTGTTAACACTTCTAAGCACCTTACCTATAGTAACTCAATTTCCAAGATAACCCTGGGAGTCGGTTCTAATATTATCCCCATATTACATATAAGAAAACTGTACACAAATGAGTTAAATAGCTTGCCCAAGGGTACATAGTGGGAAGAGGTGGAGTGTTAACCCAGACAATCTGGTTCCAGAACTTCCACTCTTAGATGGTGTGATTCATGCGTGCATTCATTCATCCATACAACCCACCATGTCAGACGCGAGTCTAGGTGGGAAGAAGATGCAGCCATTAGCAGTTCCACGTTTTCACCCTCACAGAGCTTATACTCTAATGGGGGACACCGATAAGAAAAAAGGTAAACAACTACATGAGTTCAGGTAATGATAGGAGTAAAGCCGGTAAGAGGGTGGGGGACAACGGAGAAGAGGCTAGTGCCTCATCAGGGCTGGCCTCTCTGAGGAAGTGGCATTTGAGACTAGAGGTCTGAATGGGATGTGCAGAAGTGAGCCATGTGAGATCTGGAGAAAGAAACAGTCCAGAAAGAGGCCACTGCAAGGATGAAGGCCATGGAGTCGCAGTGGGTTATGGTGCACTCCGTGAGGAGCAGGAAGGCCAGTGTGGCTGTGGCTTGGTGAGCAAGGTGGGAGCAGATGGACATGAACTGGCAGAGACAGAGAGGGGCCAGATCATTGGCCATGGTGATGAGTTTGATTTGATTCTGCAGGCAATGGAGGTATAAAAACTCTTCCAGGTTTGGAGCTTGGAAGTAATGGAATTAACCCTTTTTAAGAACCCATCTTTCTCTCATCTCTACTCTGCCCACTGTTACAATGAGGTTAACTTTCATCTTTTCTAACATTTTTATTTTTTAACACTGTGCGTGCTTCTTTGTGTGCTCTCTGAATGCTAACTTCCTTTTTTTTTTTTTTTTTTTGCTTCCCCTAGTTTCTTCATTGAAATTCTGTCTTTGGTTGTTGCTTGTGTGTAAGCTGTGTGGATCAGTTCTGGTCACTGCAGCTCAAGAAAGTCAGAGCAAAGCTGAGAAAGGTCCAGAGAAGGACAACTTCAATAACTTAGCAGGGGGAGATTAAAAGGATTACTATTTCTCCTGCAGAAAGATTAGCACTAAGAAGGAATACAATGATGTGTCTATAAAAATATGAAGAGTGTGAGTAAGGTGAACAAAGACTTGTTGGCCAATTCCCAGAAAGCCATAACCTGGAATACCCCTGAAGCCTGAAAGAGCTTGTTTGGGGAAGAATAAAAGGATTTGTTCTTCTGCACAATTGATACTTATTACTCATGGTCATCTAGAGTTGCAAGGGCTGGAAATATAAGGAGATTCAGGAGGAAAAGAGATTAATTAGCAGATGGTGGGGTCCTCTCATCATTAAATAAAAAATAATTTTTCCCTGTGAATATTTTTAAATATCCTAATAAACTTATAGAAAATAAGATATTAATATATATATATATATATATATACCGAGATTTAACAATTATCAACATTTTTCCAAACTG